TCGGCCAGGGAAGCGGTTCTGGCCAGGGAAGCGGACAGGGCCAGGGCATCGACCAGGGCATCGGCCAGGGAAGCGGCCAGGGCATCGGCCAGGGCCAGGGCATCGGCCAGGGAAGCGGACAGGGCCAGGGAAGCGGACAGGGCCAGGGCATCGGCCAGGGAAGCGGACAGGGCATCGGCCAGGGAAGCGGACAGGGCCAGGGCATCGGCAAGGGAAGCGGACAGGGCCAGGGAAGCGGACCGGGCCAGGGCATCGGCCAGGGAAGCAGACCGGGCCAGGGCATCGATCAGGGCCAGGGCCAGGGCATCGGCCAGGGAAGCGGACAGTACCAGGGAAGCGGACAGGGCCAGGGCATCGGCAAGGGAAGCGGACCGGGCAAGGGCATCGGCCAGGGCCAGGGAAGCGGACCGGGCCAGGGCATCGGCCAGGGCCAGGGAAGCGGACCGGGCCAGGGCATCGAACAGGTTACGCCTTCTTTCTTTGCGTGAACATTTGGGCTGCGTTATGCAAATCTTCCCACATAGTGAGGTAGATATGTGGGGGCGTGTTCGAACGAGCCGTTTTAGGGGGGTGTGGCAGAGTCTTAACTTTGATAAAGAATATCTCTTTGGTTTTGAGACTTTAGTCTTTGCAACTTCAGGGATCTTATCTATGCACAATCAGCTTGTAACACTCCAAAGAGAAAGGAAAAAATGAAATCGCATCATATGACCCCTTTAAAGATTCCTAAATGCATCTACTTTTGGAAGGCCAAATAAAGTGCTTTTGCTTTCACCTAGAAACACACAGCGTCTCCTTGACATGGCTGCTTCAACACTAACTGCGGTTACTGAAACCATGCCTTCTTTCTTTGCGTGCACATTTGGGCTGCATTATGCTAATATTTCCACATAGTGGGGTAGATATGTGGGGGCGTGTTAGAACGAGCCGTTTTAGGGGGGCGTGGCAGAGTCTTAAATTTGATAAAGAATATCTCTTTGGTTTTGAGACTTTAGTCTTTGCAACTTCAGGGATCTTATCTATGCACAATCAGCTTGTAACACTCCAAAGAGAAAGGAAAACTTGAAATCGCATCATATGACCCCTTTAATATTGATAATGATATACATGTTATATTATCGATCTGAATAAAATTTTTACTTTCAAAAACTACTTGTATATTGTATCTACCATGGCATAGGAAAATGCAATTCATTTAGAACATTATGGTAAACACAGTATTAAGGTACCGTATTACAATCTGCTGCCATCATATAGTTGGAAAAATAATACTGTAACCTAAAAATAGTTTGTGTGACTGTAAAACAAACCTTTTTTAGCCATGGCTGTTGCCTTCCCTATTCCGCTGTTGACGCCAGTGATCATGAAGGAATGGCCTACCATGGACACATCCAGTTCCTTCACTACAAAGCTCTTAGAGGCAATCTCAAATCCAGACCTGTTGACACCATCCAACACCTGAATCAAATCAAACACAACCAGCATAAAACCTCAAGAGCTGTACTGTTATCCATAAAAGTGTGTTTTTAACACAATCCTTGAATTGTTATGTGACCGCTGGGCATCTGAGACAGAGCTCCTAAGACAAGAACCCTGATCAGGAGCTAAAGGAGCTTCTGTGTGGGATGACAGGGCACTTGAGAGAGCGGCAGTGGTCCCAATGGGGCCCATTGTGATGCAATGATGACTGACCTTTAACTGAGGGCTTGGGTGAATGCATGTCAGAGGAGATGACTTGGGGAAATACAAAAACAACATTTGTGCAAGAAACCACTACATCTGACAACATTTAGATGTTGAAACGCCATAGAAACGCACAATCCTCTCGTAATTAGGCCAGGGAAGCGGCCAGGGCCAGGGCAGCAGCCAGGGAAGTGGTTCTGGTCAGAGAAGCGGACAGGGCCAGGGCAGCGGCCAGGGAAGCGGTTCTGGCCAGGGAAGCGGACGGGGACAGGGAAGCAGTTCTGGTCAGGAAAGTGGTTCTGGTCAGGGAAGCGGTTCTGGTCAGGGAAGCGGTCAGGGCCAGGGAAGCGGTCACGGAAGCGGTTCTGGTCAGGGAAGCGGACAGGGCCAGGGCAGCGGCCAGGGAAGCGGTTCTGGCCAGGGAAGCGGACGGGGACAGGGAAGCAGTTCTGGTCAGGAAAGTGGTTCTGGTCAGGGAAGCGGTTCTGGTCAGGGAAGCGGTCAGGGCCAGGGAAGCGGTCACGGAAGCGGTTCTGGTCAGGGAAGCGGACAGGGTCAGGGAAGCGGTTCTGGTCAGGGAAGTGTACAGGGCCAGGGCAGGGGCCAGGGAAGCGGTTCTGGCCAGGGAAGCGGACAGGGCCAGGGAAGCGGTCACGGAAGCGGTTCTGGTCAGGGAAGCGGACAGGGTCAGGGAAGCGGTTCTGGTCAGGGAAGTGTACAGGGCCAGGGCAGGGGCCAGGGAAGCGGTTCTGGCCAGGGAAGCGGACGGGGTCAGGGAAGCAGTTCTGGTCAGGAAAGTGGTTCTGGTCAGGGAAGCGGACAGGGCCAGGGCAGGGGCCAGGGAAGCGGTTCTGGCCAGGGAAGCGGACGGGGTCAGGGAAGCAGTTCTGGTCAGGAAAGTGGTTCTGGTCAGGGAAGCGGACAGGGCCAGGGCAGGGGCCAGGGAAGCGGTTCTGGTCAGGGAAGCGGTTCTGGTCAGGGAAGCGGTCAGGGCCAGGGCAGTGGCCATGGAAGCGGTTCTGGTCAGGGAAGCGGACAGGGCCAGGGCAGCAGCCAGGGAAACGGTTCTTGTCAGGGAAGAGGACAGGGAAGCGAGTCTGGCCAGGGAAGCGGTCAAGGAAATGGTCGGCAATGTGGTCATTGAAATGGTCATGGGAATTTTGCATAACACTTACTGGAGATCTTTTAAATTCAGTGCTTTATTCATATGGCATGGTTTTACCCTCTTTGATCAAACAGTTTGGAAAGTTTGTCTCTCCCCCACCTCCACCTCCTCGAATAAAAAGAATTGCTTGATTGAAGAGTTGGTGTTTTTGGTATCATTTGGCTGTTTTCTCGCATAACTGCTTTCTGGCATTTTACTGTATTTTTATCACATATGTGCAGCCTTGGTGAGCATAAGAGGCTTTCAAAAACATAAAATCTTACCAAGCCCAAACCTTTGAACAGTATTGTATTTATTTAATATTGATAATGATCTACATGTTATATTATCGATCTGAATATAATTGTTTTCACTGAATATAATTGTTTTCACATGTCAAACGACATGTATACTGTATCTACCATGGTAGAGGAAAATGCTAATAATTCAGAACATTATGGTATACATGGTATTAAGGAACCATCTGCTGCCATCATATAGTTGGAAATATACTGTAAAATTGTTTGTGACTGTAAAACAAACAATCTTTTTAGCCATGACTGTTGCCGTCCCTATTCCAATGTTGACTCCGGTGATCATGGAGGAATGGAATGGCCTACCATGGACACATCCAGTTCCTTCGCTACAAAGCTCTTAGAGGCATTCTCAAATCCAGACCTCTGACAACATCCAACACATGAATCAAATCAGAAACACAACCAGCATAAAACCTCAAGAGCTGTACTGTTATCCATAAAAGTGTGTTTTTAACACAATCCTTGAATTATGTGACTGCTGGGCATCCTAAGACAAGAGCCCTGATCAGGGGCCAAAGGAGCGTCTGTGTGAGATGACGGGGCACTTGAGAAAGCGGCAGGGGTCCCAATAGGGCCCATTGTGATGCAATGATGACTGAGAGCTTGGATGAATGCATGTCAGAGATGACTTGGGGAAATACAAAAACAAAATTTGTGCAAGAAACCACTACATCTAACAACATTTGGCTTGCAGGAACACCGTTTAAGACTTTGTTTTTGCAGCAGCTTTGGGCAGCTGCTAAATATACGCTCGGGCCAGAATAATTTTGTAAATGATTAAATGATTATAGCAATGAAAACCATCTAATTGCGATTGGAAACAAAACACTAATTAGAAAAGAATTTGCAACAAACTTTCTCAAACGTTATCAGCAATAAAGCAGCCCAATTACCTCAACAACGCAAACTGAATTCAGTAAGAAATACAAAAATACCTTTACCTTGTGTACTCCCTCATTCCCTTGATAAACCACACTATGTTCCTGTAGAGACACATTTGTTGCACTGTTGTTTCTTCTCAACTGGACTGCAGTGATATGACAGCTAACAGATGCATGTGACTGCTGTAGCTCCAGAGGACTCCCTCTAGTGTCAGATGATAGGTAATCAATTATACACAAGAAAGGTCATGCAAATAAATGTAGTCCGTTTTCCATTATTTAGCCTTTTATGCTCAAAAATGACTTTCCAAATAAACAAAAACCCTCCAAGACCCACTGTAGCTTGCAAAAACCTGAAATGTTTTGGACAAAATGTAGTAAAAATCCAAGTGTTTGACCTGTACATTTTTGTTTTTTTTAAATTCCCAAAATATTTAGTAATTACAAAATGTTTACTAAACCTACACACACACACACAAACAGTACATTTTTTGTTTACTGTGAACCTACTTTCTAATTTTTTAACACTTTCACTGAAGAATGAAGTGTAAAATGAAGAATAAAGAATACTATTATTTAGAGTTGGGGTAGGCTACTTGGACTCGGACTTCAATTATGAATGAACTTGGACTCGAACTTGACTCGTCATGTGTAATACAAGATTAAAAAATACAAATATCATAAAAGAAAAAAAAAAGTAAGAACATAAAATTAAGACAAAAATACATTATTAAGAATCGTCTCCCATTCAAACTCAATTGGTTAAGAAATAGGACTCAACAAGGTGGACTCGGACCCAACACTACAGTTATTTATCATATAAAGCCAGTTATTATTCTGAGGAATAACAAGATAATAATATTCATAATAGCAAACTGTACTTTAATTAATATTATTATATTATATTTTTTATAACAAAAATAGGTTATTCTTTATTGTGTTTTAAGTTGGCTGCTTGTACATGTCATATCTATATCCATACATGTCAAGGCTGCATTTACAAAAGGCGTTTAAAGGTAACGTACAGGAAAATATGTTAGGAGGGTGCAAGACCCACTGTAGCTTGCAAAAACCTGAAATGTTTTGGACAAAATGTAGTAAAAATCCAAGTGTTTGACCTGTACATTTTTGTTTTTTTTTAATTCCCAAAATATTTAGTAATTACAAAATGTTTACTAAACCTACACACACACACACAAACAGTACATTTTTTGTTTACTGTGAACCTACTTTCTAATTTTTTAACACTTTCACTGAAGAATGAAGTGTAAAATGAAGAATAAAGAATACTATTATTTAGAGTTGGGGTAGGCTACTTGGACTCGGACTTCAATTATGAATGAACTTGGACTCGAACTTGACTCGTCATGTGTAATACAAGATTAAAAAATACAAATATCATAAAAGAAAAAAAAAAGTAAGAACATAAAATTAAGACAAAAATACATTATTAAGAATCGTCTCCCATTCAAACTCAATTGGTTAAGAAATAGGACTCAACAAGGTGGACTCGGACCCAACACTACAGTTATTTATCATATAAAGCCAGTTATTATTCTGAGGAATAACAAGATAATAATATTCATAATAGCAAACTGTACTTTAATTAATATTATTATATTATATTTTTTATAACAAAAATAGGTTATTCTTTATTGTGTTTTAAGTTGGCTGCTTGTACATGTCATATCTATATCCATACATGTCAAGGCTGCATTTACAAAAGGCGTTTAAAGGTAACGTACAGGAAAATATGTTAGGAGGGTGTTGCCTCGCCCCTTTTCAAGCCAGGTGCAGTGCGTTAACCAATCAGAGCTCAGACATAGGAGGCGAAAACAAAGCCGACCGCTCAGATACGCATCTGCGCATGCGTAGCTTTTCTCTCCACCACAGTTTGGGAAGGGCAGCGATGACTCCGGCCTTGACCAGCCGGCCGGGAAGTGAATAGGAATTTTGTGGATTTCAACATTCTTTCCGTATTTCTTACTTCAGTATGGTAAGTTACACCGGTTATTCTTTTGCCTCACCTAAAAGCACACATTTAGATCACAGAGCAGTGCGACAGACAGGTGATTTCTTCCACAGGTTGTGCTCGTGCACCTGCGGACTTTAAAACTTCCGTCCTTCATGAACTTCTTGTTTATCACCGACTAAAGAAAACAGTGTCATTTAGAGCTGGTGTAATTCACCTAAAGTTGTTTTATTCAAAGTCTGAGCAAATGAATCTGATGTAATTTTAAATGCTGAGGGAGTTAAAGGTGTCGCTTTGGTGAAGTCATCTCATCTGTCTGGATAAACCGGTTGGTTCGTTTCTCTTGATACTGGCCTGTCAGATTTTGACACTCTATGGCAAGCCGTTTTGACTTTTATTCATTCTCAGGATATGAACTCTTGATATCAACAATTCAATTTTTACTAGTTAAAATGTTAATTCTTGATATCAGGAATTAGATTTCTACTAGTAACAATTGCTATTTTTGATATCAGCAACTACATTTCCACGAGTAACAATGTTAATTCTTGATATCAGGAATTAGATTTCTACTAGTAACAATTGCTATTTTTGATATCAGCAACTACATTTCCACGAGTAACAATGTTAATTCTTGATATCAGGAATTAGATTTCTACTAGTAACAATTGCTATTTTTGATATCAGCAACTACATTTCCACGAGTAACAATGTTAATTCTTGATATCAGGAATTAGATTTCTACTAGTAACAATTGCTATTTTTGATATCAGCAACTACATTTCCACGAGTAACAATGTTAATTCTTGATATCAGGAATTAGATTTCTACTAGTAACAATTGCTATTTTTGATATCAGCAACTACATTTCCACGAGTAACAATGTTAATTCTTGATATCAGGAATTAGATTTCTACTAGTAACAATTGCTATTTTTGATATCAGCAACTACATTTCCACGAGTAACAATGTTAATTCTTGATATCAGGAATTAGATTTCTACTAGTAACAATTGCTATTTTTGATATCAGCAACTACATTTCCACGAGTAACAATGTTAATTCTTGATATCAGGAATTAGATTTCTACTAGTAACAATTGCTATTTTTGATATCAGCAACTACATTTCCACGAGTAACAATGTTAATTCTTGATATCAGGAATTAGATTTCTACTAGTAACAATTGCTATTTTTGATATCAGCAACTACATTTCCACGAGTAACAATGTTAATTCTTGATATCAACACTTTAATTGTCACTAGGGACAATTAAATTGTTGATATCAAGAATTCATATCCTGAGAATGAATAAAAGTCAAAAGGGCTTGCCATAGACACTCAGCAAGCAAATTATGAAACCTTTGTGTGGAGAAAACTTGCATGCAAAGTCCTGGTTTAGCTGACTTGATTTGGCGGCCAGGTGAACTCGTTTATTTTTTGTTCAAATAGAGTTGGCCACTGTGTGTTTGACGTTTGACTGCTGCTGAGCGAGTTTACAAGAAGAGCTATCTGTTCTTCTGGTTAATGTGTGCAAGAATGAAGACGAATGAGTTAAGAGTACTTTATAAACCAATCACAATATTACAAATGAAATTAACATTTGCTATTATTAAATAATAGACATGAAAAATAAGCTGTAAAAATATAATGTTAAGTTTACGCTCTAAAAAATGCTGGGTTAAATACAACCGAGTGCTGGGTAAATTAGGGACAACCCCAGCAATTGGGTTGTTTTGACCCAGCGGTTGGATTACTTCCCAGAAGGTTGAGTTAAACATTTAACCCAACCGCTGGGTCAAAACAACCCAATTGCTGGGTTTGTCCCTATTTTACCCAGCGCTGGGTTGTATTTAACCCAGCATTTTTTTAGAGTGTACTATTAAAATATCAGTCAGTAATCTATATTACTGCTAATAACAATAAAGTATGCTCATACATATGTGTTTGTATAAAAAAAAACTTAAAATAATCAAATAAATACATTTAAAAATAAATATTTTTTCAAACTGAGTCATATTTGATACAATATATTTATTATTATTATTATTTACAGCTTTTTTTGCTGTTAATAATTTAAAGAATGTAATTAAATGCTTAATGAAAAACA